GTCTACCTTCTTTTGACGCTTGTCGAACTTTTCTCTTTTACGATCTCATTTGGCCTTCTCAGTGACTCAGTGACTTCTCAGTAGAATAAAATCAACAGTCAGATCCCCATCTTGCAGGTGGTAAAGAGCCCTGGTGAGAATGAACGAGCTGCCTGAGGTTGCGGAGTGTGTTAAGGATGAAGCTGGAGCTAGAACCTGAGCCTCTAGCCCACGGGTTCGCAAACTATGGCCAGTGCCATAGATTTTTGTAAATAAAGTTTATTGGAACACAGCCACACCCATTCATTTCCATATTGTCTAGAGTTGCTTTCACACTATAACAGCAAAGGTTACTAGCTGTGACAGACCTTATGGGCTACAAAACCTAAAATATTTACTCTCTGGCCTTTTACAAAAGAGTTTGCTGGCTCCTCCTCCAGGGGTTCCGGCACTGGCCCTAGGGCCCTAGTTCTTCCCACGTGGGAGAAGTGCTCACTGCCTTTCCGAGCTGTCCTGTCCCATGTTTCACATTTCAAAGGAAGGGATCTGTATGTCGGGGGTCTTTTCCCATAGAACAGATGTTCTAAACCTGCCAGCCTGCATAAGATTCATGCCAGTTTTTCTGGGCAAAACATGAAAAGTTTTTCAAAGTTAGAATTACTGCTACAGAATATGTCATGACATGTAAAAAACAGATACCAGACAACCTACACTAATGGTAATGGATCAAGTGCACAGTGACTACAGTTTATAACACTGTTTTCTGGAGCTTTTAAACCAATCATATATGTTTGTATTACGTGCTTTGTACTCTGAATAAAGTGCATGAAGCTCTGTATCAGTCATTCTCAAAGTGTGATCCCTGGACCACCAGCAGCAGCAATATGACTTGTAAACTTGTTAGAAATGCAAATTCTCAGGCTCTGCCCCATGGGTAATTCTGAGAGTGGGGCCCGACCATCTTTGTTTTAACAAGACTTCTAGGTGATTCTGACACACACTAAAACTTGAAAACCACATTGGGCCTTGAGAAATGGCATTTTGAACAAATTCTAAGAGGATGCTGGTCTGGGGACCATAGTTTGGGAACTACTGGTCTAGATACTAGAACAAGAAAGTAGGACAGAGGCCAAGAAGAGTTTTTTGAGTGGATAGGATCCTACTGAGACTCTTAAAACTTAGATAGTTTGACTCTCAGGAGCTTAAGATGGACATTTTTAGTCGATTTTACTTCAAAATTTAATTTTTAAAAATGCTAAGTATAGAGAATAATAAAGCTACCATGTAGATACCAGTTGTCCAACTTTAGCATGTCAGCATTTTGCTTTTATTTTTCTTTTAAAGAAATGGGAGTACGGGTATAGATGAAGTCTCCTATATAACTTTCCAGGATCCCATTCCTCTCTCTTATTCTCTAGAGAACCACCATCCTTCATCACATGTAAATTTTTTTGAATTTTATTACGTATGCATATATCAGTACACAATACCAGTCTGCACATTTTCATACTTAACAGACAAATGCTCTGTAACTTTTCTCCTAGACATTATGTTTCTGAATATTATTCACGTTGATTATAGTGTAACTTCAGCTCATGTATTTTACCTGGTATGTGAATGTACCATATTTTATTCATTCATTCGAAGTCAAGTTGATGGCAACGGGGTTTTTTTTTTTTTTTTTCCCAGTAGACATTAATGTTTTTCCTGATTTTTTACTGTTCAAAACAATAGATATTCTTGTACATGTATGCTATGTTATTTCTAGGCTATGTGCCCAGGTGAGGAATAGCTGAGAAGTAGGGTCGAGTTGGCTCTGACTGTATAACAGAACGAAGTGTTGCCACGGCCCGTGCCGTTCTCATGATCGCAGGCATGTCTGAGTCCGTTGTTGCAGCCGTTGTGTCCTTGAGGGTTTCTCTTGTTTCCGCTGATCCTCGACGTTACCAAATGTGATGGCCTTTTCTAGTAATTGGTCTTTCTTGCTGTCTGAAATAAGCGAGCTAAGGTCTCGCCATCGTCACTTCTAAGGAGCATTCTGGTTATATTTCTTCTAAACGGATCTGTTCATTCTTTTGGCAGTATAGTCAATGTTTTTCACTGAGAGCACAATTCGAATGCATCAGTTCTTCTTCTGTCTTCCTTTTTTATTGTTCGGCTTTCGTATGCGTATGAGGCGATTGAAAAGACCATGGCTTGGGTCAGACACACCTTAGTCATCAAAGTGACATCTTTGCTTTTTAAAACTTTAAAGAGGTCTTATGCAGCAGAATTGCCCAGCGCAGTATGTCATTTGATATCTTGATTGGTGCTTCCGTAGACATTGATTGTTGATCCAAATAGAATTAAATTGTCGACTTCAGTGTTTTTCTCCATTTATCGTGATGTTGTTTATTGGGCTAGTTGTGAGGATTTTCATTTTCTTCACGTTCAAACATAATCCATACTGAAAGCTATAATCTTTGACCTTCATCAGTAAGTTCTTCAGGCCATCTTCATTTTCAGCAAGCAAGGTTATGTGATGTACATATTGTTCATGAGTATTCCTCCAGTTCTGGTGCTTTGTTCTTCATATAGTCCAGCTTCTTGGATTATTTGTTCAGCATACAGTTTGAGCAAGTAGGGTGAAAGGATACAATCCTGTCGCACACCTTTTCCAATCTTAAGCCACGCAGTATCCCCTTGTTCTTTTCTAATAACTGCTTCTTGAGCCATGTACAGGTTCGTCATCAGCACAATGGCTGATTGCTCTGCTAATGGTTGTACCTATTTACTCACCTGTCTGCAAGGTATGAGAGTCCGATTTCTAAATATTTATCAGAACTTGGCATTTGTAGACATTTGAATTTGTGCTGATTAGAGAGACGGGAAATGCCTTGTAGTTTCTGAATTTTATAATTCCCAGAATTCTAGGGAGCTTGAGTAACTTTTCATGTTTCTTAAAATTTCAGTTTTCTTCTTCATGAATTACCTGTTAATATGGGTTGAATTGTGTCCCCCAAAAATGCATGTCAACTTGGCTAGGCAATGTTCCCAGTATTGTGTGGTTTTCTACCATTTTGTGATCTTATGTGATTATCCTGTATGTTGTAAATCCTAACTTCTATGATGTTAATGAGGCAGGGTTAGAGGCAGTTATGTTAATGACACAGGACCACAATCTACAGGATTAGGTTGTATCTTGGGTCAGTCTCTTTTGAGATATAAAAGAGAGGATGGAGCAGAGAGAAAAGGGACCTCATACCCTCAAGCAAGAAGAACCAGGAGCGGAGCGTGTCCTTTGGACTCAGGGTCCCTGTGCTGAGAAGCTTCTAGACCAGGGGAAGATTGATGACAAGAACCTTCCCCAGAGGTGACAGAGAAAGCCTTCCCCTGGAGTTGGCGCCCTGAATTAGGACTTTCAGCCTCCTAGACTATGAGAGAATAAATTTCTGTTTGTTAAAGCCATCTACTTGTGGTGTTTTTGTTATAGCAGCACTAGATAACTAAGGCACCCATGATACCCTTTACCCATTTTATATTGGGTTATTTGTCTTTTTGCATGTGTTTATAGATGCTCTTTTGTAATCTTTGCTAACACTTTATGACTTATTTGTGTTGCAAGTACTTTATCTCAGTCTGTAGCTAGTCTTGTAGCTTTGTGTTTTGTTGTTTTTGGTTTTTTCTTTGTTTGAGGTACCAGAGTTTATAATTGTAACGTTATTTTTTTTCAGGTTTTGTCTTTATGATTTATTCTTTCTTTGCCTTATTTAAGAAAACCTTTCCCTACTCTTGGGTCATAAAGATTCTCCACTTTTGTTGAAGTTTAAAGCTTTGCTTTGTACATTTAAGTCTTTAATCTATCTGGAATTTATTTTTGTGTATGGTATGATGTAGAAATTAATTTTATTCTTCCGTGTAATCAGTTGTCCCAACATCACCCTTTTTTCATTGATTTATAATGCAGTCTCTGTGATACACCAAGATTTTTTATGTGCACTGGTTTGTTTCTGAGTTCTGTACTCTTTTCTTTTGGTCTGTTTATCCCTTTGTCTGAGCCACATCATCTTAATTATTATTACTTTATACAAATACATCTGGTAAGACAAATTATCCCATTGTGACCTTTTTCAAAATTGTTCTGACTGTTCTCTTCAAGATAAGGTATATAGTCAGCTTGTCAAAGTCCATGAAAAACACTGTTTTACAGTTTTGAACGGCTGTATGTTAAAGTTATAAAGTAATTGGGAGAGAATCGACTGTCTTTCAATTCATAAACATAGTGTATCTGTCCTTTATTCAGGTCTTCTACTATGGCTGCGATAACAGAAATACCACAAGTGGACGGCTTTAACAAACAGAAATTTATTCTCTCACAGTTTAGGAGGCTAGATGTCTAAATTCAGGGCACCAGCTCTGGGGGAAGACTTTTTTCCTCTGTCAGTTCTGGAGGAAGGTCCTTGTCATCAATCTTCCCCTGGACAGAAGCTTCTCACTGCAGGATCCTGGGTCCAGAGGATGCACTCCACCCTGGCGCTTCTTTCTTGGTGGTATGAGGTCCCTCTCCTCTTTGTTTCATTCTCTCTTTTATATCTCAAAAGAGATTGACTCAAGACACAACCTAACCCTGTAGATTGGGTCCTGCCTCATTAACAGTGGCCTTCTATAATGCTTTGTAATTTTTCCAGTAAAGGTCTTGGGCATCTTTTGTTACGTTTACTCCTGGGTATGTTATACTGTATATAACTAATAAATGTATTCTAATTGTGTGTGTGTATAAATATATATGTAAAATACTTACGATTAGTATTGTTTTTCTAACTGGTTATTTCTGACATACAGGAATACTTTTTTTCGTTTATGAACATGTCATTCTTTTCTTTTTCTAGTAGATGGCAGTAAAGTACACCAAAATTTCATTATTAAGGGTCTGTTTTCTTTTCAGTACTGTCTTATTTTTCCCCCTGAAATTAAAATGATTTGTACGTTTATAAGTATTGATGCTAAAAGATTTCTAAATTATTTCCCTTTGTTCCCTTTAGGAGGATAAAAGGAACCGAGATCGAGACCATGTGGAGAATGAGGCAGAGAATGACCTCCAGTGTCAGGCTCCTGTAAGACTAGACTTGCCTCCTGAGAAGCCTCTCGCAAGTTCTTTAGCCAAACAAGAAGGTTGGAATATCTGTGAATTAACTGCCCTGAATGAGGAAGCTGAAAATGTTTTAAGGGTCATAGCCAGGGAAAGTGACTGGATTTTAGCTTCTGAGTTAAAGTGTAGAAGTTTTTAATTGGAGTTTTTTTTTTTTTAATGTGAACTACATTTTTTTCTTTTTTTCTTTTCATGTGCTTTAGATGAAGTTTTAAAGAGCAAATTAGTTTCTCATTGAACAACACACGTATTGTTTTGTGACATTGGTAGCCACCCCCACGACATGTCAACACTCTCCCCTTCTCCACCTTGCGTTCCTCGTTCCCAGCTCTCCTGTCCCCTCGTGCATTCTCGTCCTTGCTCCTGGGCTTGTGTGCCCTGTTAGTCTCGTTTTGGTTTTTGGGCCTGTCTAAGCTTTGGCTGAAGGGTGGACCTCAGGAGTTACTTCAGTACTGAGCTAAAGGGGTGTCTGGGGGCCATACTCTTGGGTTTTGTTTTGTTTTTAAATTTCTTTTCCTTGCTCTGTCTCACTGCATAAAAAATAGTAATTAGCTTCCATTTTGAATTGATATTATCAAACTCCAACCTAGCAAAAATAAGCGGAATTTCTGTTGTTAGGTGCTGTGCAGTCATTTCTGCCTCATAGCAGTGTACAACAGAACAAAACACTGCTCAGTCCTCTGCCGCCCTGACAATCATCGCTGTCTTTGAGCTCATTGTTGCAGCAGCTCTGTCAGTCTGTTTTGTTGAGGGTCTTCCTCTCTTTCACTGACTCTCTAGTTTACCAAGCATGATGTCCTTCTCCAGGGACTGGTCCCTCCAGATAACACGTCCAAAGTACGGGAAACGAAGTCTCGCCATTCTCGCCTCCAAGGAGCATTCTGGCTGTACTTCTTCCAAGACACATTTGTTTGTTCTTCTGGCAATCCATGCTGTATTCAGTGTTCTTCACCAACTCCATAATTCAAAGGCATCAATTCTTCTGTCTTCCTTTTTCCATTGTCGGGCTTTTGCATGCATATGAGACAATTGAAAATACCATGGCTTGAGTCAAGCGCACCTTTGTTCTCAAAGTGACCTTCTTTTTAACACCTTTAAGAGGTCTTTTGCAGCACGTTTGCCCAATGCAGTATGTTGTTTGATTCCTAGACCACTGCTTCCACGGGCATTGATTGTAGATCAAGTAAAATGAAATCGTTGGTATCTTCAGTATTTTCTCTGTTCACGATGATGTTGCTTATTGGTCCAGTTGTGAGGATTTTTTTTTTTTATGTTGAGGTATAATCCGTATTGAAGGTTGTAGTCTTTGATCTTCATCAGTAAGTGCTTCAAGTTCTCTTCACAATTCTGTACAAGATGTTTAATAATGGGTATGAGAGAAACCATATAGAAAGAAAATTAAGCTAAGCATAGTACTCTCTAGAATCTTGCATTTAAAAACACCCTTTCCTTTCTTCTTTGCTTTAGAAGTAGAACAGACACCCCTTCAAGAAGCCCTGAATCAACTGATGAGACAATTGCAGAGGTAAGTGTGTTTTCCAACATTTTCATAACATGGAAATTGAAATGGTAAGATGTATAGGATCCAAACCACTTCTCTTTTTTCGACTACTTAAAGCCGCATTTTGTGACCTAGATCCAAATGTCCTTGATTTTAAAGTGGATGATAAATATTTTGTTTGGCAATAGAAGTACTTCAAGAAGCTGACTTTTAGATATTCTCTTTTGGTTTGTTCTAACTGGCATCTTGAAAGCTGTTATATAATACTCTTAATGGCAACTTTGTTTTTGATCTAAAGTAATTTCTGGTGTTAAAGCTTTAAACCAGGAATAAACAATATGGATATTTCTGGTTTTGCTAATAGATCGAAGCACTTTCTGTATGTCTGTGCAGTGCCTGTCATGCCGTGAGCGTTCAGCAATTATTAAATCCAGGAGAAGAAACAAAGTACCCTAAACAGGATTTGTGACCCTCTTTTAAATGCAGAAATTTATTCTAAAAACTTCCATGTCTAGATTAAACCAGAGTTAAGTTCTTAAAAGGGAAAAGAATAACTCAGTCTTTATTAAAATACTGATTTTGATACCCTTTTTACTCAGAATTTTGAATTCAAAGACATTTACAGTATATTTGCAAAGGATTTATGGTTCTAAGGTATACATACTAATAGTGAACTTTGTTCTCACTGTGTTGGACTTATGTGTCAACCCCAGAGCACATCATAAATAATTTTTCAAGATAAAGCTCTCTATATTCAGCAGCTATTCAGCTTTGCAGTTAAGGTCAGAAGTTACCAGCCTCTCTTCTTTTTTGGTATTATAGAGTTTGAGTCTCTAGTCTTTATACTTGAATAAGTTATTCATTACTTATCTCAAAGGAGTGAATGTGTGAGTATTCAGTATTCCATCTCAATTAAAAGGTATGACTATAAAGTGCTTTGTCTGTCTTTGTGTCTAATTTCTTGTAAAATTGGAATATAGGTTAATGATGTCACCTTAAGAGACATCTACTTTAAAATGTACATCTTAGTCCAAGGATGTTAACATTGCTGGGAACATTCTGGGAACTGGAACCCGAAATTCGGTTTTGAATAGCCTTGGTTAGTGATTGGGCGAGTTCTTATTTCTGAGTCTCAGAGAGCTTGGACTGGTAAAGAATGTAATTGATCAAGTTTGGTAAAACCGCTTTTAGCCATAAAACTAGATGATGGGATTCTATAGTAAAATGACTCATTTTGTGAGATATAGTTGATAATTTGCTCTGAAAGATAGTTGCAAAAGATGACTTCCAGAGATGATTAGTGTTGTCATTCAGGGTAACTATGATGAACAGAATGAATTTGGATATATAATTCCAGACTGGATAATTTTGCTCATTCTCATCATTTTTTAGTCTCATTGCTTAGGCATCCGGTTGGGAAGAATAAAGATAGAATCAGACAGACTTGAGTTCAGATTCCGTCTCTATCCCTTATTAGCGTTATGACCTAGAACAAATGGTGTAACCTCTCTCAGTCTCAGTGCCCCCATCTGTAATTGACGATACCACGACCTTGATGGCGTTTGTGATGATTAGATATAAAATACGTTAAGTGCTTACCCTGGGGCTGGTATATGGTAAATACATTTTAAAATTTGCTGCTGGTTCATGATAAAAACACTCAATAAACTAGAAGTAGAAGGGAAATTTCTCAACATGATAAAGGACATTTATGAAAAACCCACAGCTGAAGTCATACACAATAATGAAAAAGTAGAAGCTTTCTCTCTAAGATCAGGAACAAGACAAGGATACTGAGTTTCACCACTGCTGTCAACGTTTTGAGTCCCTGGGTGACTCAAATGGTTAAGCGCCCATCTACTAACCAAAAAACGGGCGGTTCAAACTCACCCAGAGGTGCCTTGGAAGAAATGCCTGGTGCTCTGTTTACAAAAGGTCACAGCCATTGAAAACCCTATGGAGTGCAGTGAGTCTGCACACGTGGTTGTCAGTGAGTTGGAATTGACTTGACGGCATCTGGTTTTGTTTTGTTTTTTTTTAATCAACATTATAGTGCAATGTCTAGTGAGAGCAAATTAGGTAAGAAAAAGAAATAAAAATGTATGCAAATCAGAAAAGAAGTAAAATTATCTCTAATCGCAGATGACGTGATTCTGTATCCAGAAAATCCCAAAGAATCCACAGAAAGCTACTAGAGCTAGAAACAAATTCAACAAAGTTACAAGTTACAAAATTAACACCAAAATCTGTTGTTTCAGTACATCAGCAATCAACAGTCTGAAAATGAAATTAAGAAAACAATTCCATTTACAATAGCGTCTCTAAAGGAATACATAGATACAAATTTAACCAAGGAGGTGAAAGAACTGTGTGCTGAAGATTGCTGAAAGATTTAAAAAGACCCGACTATGCACATGGACCTCACTGGATGGATTACTGTATTTTTATGCAGATAATGGCACGCCTTCTGCATTGGTTTGCTGGCAGCACCCTCCACCCTGTGGTGTTCTTGTAAGCGTGCTATGCTAATGTTTTTAAAGCAACATGTGGAAGAGGATTGACATGATGGGGCTTGTGAGGGTGCTTGGCGGGGGGGAGGATGCAGCCTGCAAACACAGAGGGCGCACATTATTTGCATAAAAATACGGTACAAGAAAAACCAACCCCTGTCATGGAGTCGATCCCGACTCATAGCGACCCCATAGGGTTTCCAAGACTAAATCTGTACAGAAGCAGACTGACACATCTTTCTCCTGTGGAGCTGCTGGTGGTGTAGAACCATAGACCCTTTGGTTAGCAGTCCCGCACTTTAACCACTGGGTCACCAGGGCTCCTGTAAATGCAGATCATCTGTGGAAAGAGATGACGGAGAAGCTCAGTAGCACCAGTCAAGACAAAACCAGGGGCTGACTTGATACAGACCATCAGTTGCTTATGTGCAAGTTAGGGTTAGGGTTACTATTTCTGTCTTTTCTCCCGTGGTTAGTAACAATATGCAGTACTGATCTCCCAAAGGCCCAAACATTGATTGTTAGTCGAGGTTATTTTGCTTCCTTTTCCCATTTGTAGGAGGTGCTACTAATTAATTACTCTACGTATGTAAAAAGAAAAGTTCTCTGTCTTAAGGATACAACTAGTGCGTAAAACATCTTAACATTTTTATTAAATAGTTATTAGTCTTCAGAATCTTTCCCTCAATTTTCAGTGAAAAACACATTAGCATACTAAAGATTCTTTCTACGTCTAAAGAGTTTTTGTCTGACTTCTGCTCCTAAATCAGTAGATTTGTTTGTAGTAGAAATAAAATACAAGATTGCTTTTTTGTATCTTCACAGAAAAGACCCAAGTGCTTTCTTTTCATTTCCTGTGACGGACCTTATTGCTCCCGGCTACTCCATGATCATTAAGCACCCAATGGATTTTAGTACCATGAAAGAAAAGATCAGAAACAATGCCTACCAGTCCATAGAAGAACTCAAGGTAATTATAATTATTTATATTGAGATTGGAGAAATAGACTGAGTTCTTAATACAAAATAAAACTCTCACATCTTTAGGTTCATTTGAGAGTCAAACCCTTGGATCCTACTTACACAAAAATGTGGTAAAAATCTGGAGGTCTGGTATTCAAAATATTTTGGATTGACCTTTTATTTTGCAGAGAATTAAATTTATTTTAATATCCAAAATCTTTGTTTTTCTGTCTTAGAAAACTGTTTCTGAGCTCAGTGATAGAAAACCAGATGAAATAAGTCATCTGCTATATTTTTTGTTTTGTTTTTAGTGAAATTTTGAGTTTCATATGTATTTCAAAATATATTTTCCCAGCCTTTAAGATAAAAAGATGGTATTAGATTTTTAACTTCTCATCAATACAGGTAAAATTGATACCTTAATGAAAGTATAATTAGAGTAGAATTTCTTTTTCTATTTCTAGACATACAAGGTGTGTGTATATTCTAAAATAGAGAACAAATTGGCTTGTCCAAAATATTAAACTGCAGTTTAATTACCTTTTTTAGTTTCATGTAAGTCAGTTGCTTGCTTGTTCACTTAGGCTATAATTGTTGAGCATATTCAGCTTTAAGAAGAAGGAGACACAAAAAAAATGAATAGTAAAGAACATAAGAGCTCCAAGATAATGTACATGCCTAATGTACAGAGTCCTGGCATATACTGATATCAGGGGTACACTTTTCTTCATCTTATTCTTCCAAGCAAAAGAAACTGCCTGTTTTTAAAATTTGTTTTGTATCAAACCAGTACAAACTTAGCTGGTTTAGGTAATATCTGTTTTACCTTTATTTTTTCCACATGAACATTGTAGAATTCACTTGACCTGAAGGCTAGGCCCTAATTATTTCCAGCAGGAATATAAGACTCTCCACATTATCTTTACTTTGTCTCTTTTCTTCATCCGGTGTAGATCGGCTGAGATGATGAAGAACACCAGTGTTTAATTCTGTCACTCTCAGTTTTAAGTGTGTAGATAATATTTCTCTTGCTCTGAAAAACCTGAATTATATTCTCTCGTATTCAGAGAGATGGAAACTTGCCCCAGCGTTATTTCTGTTGAAAATTTAGCTAGAACTCTTTGTTTTGTTTTCTCAACATATTTCTGACCTTATTTTTGCTTAATGGAAAAATATTTCAAAAAAATTTTTTTCTTTTGTGAAGGATTTTCCTATGATCTTTCTCTTATGATGACAAGAGAGAGAATTGTGTTCCCTAAATGTTTTTGAGTAAAGTAGGTTAAAGTTTATCATAATTGAAATGAAAGAGTATTTTTAACTCTTTGAAGTTTTGTATATTACTGTATTTTTTTAATGGGGGAAGTTCAACAGCCTGAAGTAATATATATTAGTTTAGCCAGCTCATTAGACTGCTAAAGTAGAAAATTTGCATGAAACATGGGTACAACAATCATTCGTCTTTTTGAATGACGAAGTACTGTTACACAAAAGCCCAGTGAAGCCTAACACATTACAGTTAAGATTTAAGGAGTCTGTAAATTACCTTAACAGGTCAGATCTGTGGTCATTCTAGCCCAGTACTCTCTTCCTCACGGGTTATTTAGTATGAGTACACAGTCATCTGTCTCCTCTCACTTGCCTCACCTCCCCCCAAATATATATTTAATAATTCTTATTGGAATGGAAATGTTTCGGAATATCTATAGCAGAGGTTCTTAACCTGGGGTTCTTTGGGAAGCCACGGGAGGGCTTTTAGGGGGACCATGAACCTCGTAAAATGGCATGAAAAATGTTGTGTTTAACTCTATGTGTGTCTGTTTGAAGACTAGATCTAAAACTCTCATCAGACTCTTTGAAATCCGGGACCTAAGCATAACTGATTAGATGCGTGGCCAGGAACTGAGGATCCAGATACACTTCCATCCATAATAAATTTAATACCAAATTCATTGTGACCTTTGAATCTGTTTCCTTATATACCTTGAAGTAGAATTCCGTCTGCCTGTTTTCATTCCATTTAAGTGTTCTAAGTTGTCATCACTAATTACTAAACAGTGGATTTTGAATGTGTTTGTTTTGGATTGTTTGGGGAGGGGGATCCTTTTTTGTTGAATTTTATCATTTTAACTTATCAAGGCTTTGGCATAATTACTCTCATATTTATATAATGAGAAAATGTCTTAACCATGAAAAAATGTAGTGGGATTAAGTTCTCAAGCACATGTGCATACTTTAAAATTAAACCAAAAATACAGTTTTCAGAATTCGGTTATTCTGCGTACATGTTCTGACTCTTTGAGGTTGTGTGGTTTGTTTCATATTGCCATGATTTTGCAATATTCTGCCAGTTATGTTTAGCTTGTGATGATGTTTAGCCTATATATTCAAACACTTGAAAGAAAATGACTAAATGTTTTAACATTTTTGTTCAGTTAATTTGAATTTGGCAGGAAATACTGTGATAATTTAACACTGTTTCCAGTTTTCAGTCAAGATCTGAAATGAAATATTTAATTCTGAAATGGAAATTTAAAATATTTGTTTCAAACTAAGAATAATTTTTTAAATTACATTAACTACTCAGCTAAGATTATTAAGGATAAAGTGGAAACATTTTCTTCTAATTCTTTGTGTGTGCAGTAATGTTATACTGAAGAAACTCATTTAAAAATTTTATTCTGGAATCTAAAGTTTATATACAGTTACTATAAAATGTTTAAATTTTAGAAAAGAATGTTGTAGCATAGTTAAATTAATTTAGCAATATTTGTTTTGTTGGTGAGTCCTAAGTTTTTTTAAATTACAAATTGCTGTTATGTAGTTTTCCTTATTGAACAGTTGAAGAAAAGGTCTTTTAAGTTTTAGAGGATGTATGTTTTAAACTTGGAGAATTACTCTGTTTTGTTTTAATGTATTTTTCTCCTTAATATTCTGTCTACAGGATAATTTCAAACTAATGTGTACTAATGCCATGATTTACAATAAGCCAGAGACTATTTATTATAAAGCTGCAAAGAAGCTATTACACTCAGGGATGAAAATTCTTAGCCAGGTAAAGGAAACTCTTTGTCATAAACAATAATTATTATAAAATCTATATCCCTATGTTTTTTGGTCATAGTGATAGAGATCTAATATAACACTGGTTTTATTTTACTAATAGATCATATTATAGTAGAAAATACTAATGAAAAAACTTTAATAAAGAGAACATTAAGGCAAGAAGATTCTTATTTGGCATTGATACAATTAAATATTGACATTCATTTGTAATTATTTCTTTAGAGACCCTTGAATTTCTGTTCACCAGATAGACTTATTTTTACTGTAGGCAGCAAAATTCTACTATGAAAGAAACATCAGCCTGAATTCCACGATAAGGTTGGATGAATCAGGAGATCTTTTAGGATGAAAGCTCTGTGTTTCCATTTGTAGTGGTGGAATCTAATGTTCTGGGCAATTCTGTGCTTCTTGGTGAAGCACAGGAACTCTTTTTAGTAGCAAGAAAAAATACACAACTGAGAAATATCTTGGGACTGTCTTGAAGCAGCCTCTTGACAAGAGCAGAATCTTCCTTAAAGGACAAGAATTGGTACGTGGTAAGGCATTTGAGGTAGGAGAAATATGTACAGAGCCCCAAATACAGTGTTACCAAGTGGCATGAAAGAGCTGAAACATAACGACTTATCCAAAACAGTACTGTAGATAGTGGCAAAAAAATTATGAGTGTTGTCCCAGAGTGACAGCTGATGAAAGATTTTGAAGGGTAAACTGAGGTGATCACTGGATCTGCCGAGAAAAAAGAACAACTCACAAAGTTAAGTAGCACTTTTTGAGGTTTTTCTCACAGCTCTGAGTAGGACGAACCACATTAATAAGAGACTACATGTAGAAAAACTGATTGAGGGTAACCCTGGGGCCATGGCAGAAAGTCGGAAGACTGAGTTCTACTTCTAACTCCCTTCCACTAACCTGTGGGTCTTGGGCACGATCTTAGCTACCCTGGGCCTCAGTGTTCTCGTTTCTAGAGAAGAAGGGTTTAATCTGTGATCTCCAGGAAAATTTCTAGGAGCAGTGTTCTGATTCCAGATAGGAGGTAGGTTAGGGAGAAGAGTATTAAAAAACACAGTAAGATGGATTTTGCAAGGGAAAAGAAATGAGTGGGTGTCAGACACAGGAAGGAGGAAGGAATGGGAATTAAGAGGTTGAGCTCAGACCCAGAAGAGTTAAAGGATGAGAAAAATGAGTCATGTTTAGTTGCGTGTAATTTTTCAGTTTAGTGATTCATTTGTGGTGATCGTCTGTGTTATAGTTCAGCGTTTAAAGAAATACCTTGGTTTGCAGATGTCTATTTGCTTGGCTCTGAAAGATTCTTGAATCTACTTAACTGGGGAAAGAAAAACATTTGGATTGATGATCATTCTTGCACTCCTAATACTTAGACAACGTCAGTTCCCACCCTTTCCTCAAGACTTGGGAAACTAATGTAATCCAGTTATCCATCTTTTGGCAAAATTTGCAGAGGAAAAGGAAGTATAAAATGTTTATCCCACTCTTTGCGGAGGAGACTCTCAGAATCCAGCATGAAGCCACATTCCAGGTTTAAAAACCTGCAGATGCTTGTTATTGTATGTGAAGGAAAAGTACACCCAACAGGTGCAGTCTTTTGTCACAACTCCGAAATATGTACATTGTATTTTTGGGAAAGATGTTAATTTATACAGACCTACAGTATCCAAAGTAAATTTATCAACTTTCATTCACCAGTATGTTTTCTTCTTTAAATAATGTAGTTAAATGTAACATGTAGAAGATTCCAGTATCGCGTTGATTTTTACTGGAGGTGGCCCAGAAAATAAACTTCCTTCTCTACTTCCCTTTTTCTCTCTCTTTGTTGTTTCCCTTTTTTCCCCAGAACTCTTCCTTCTGAGGAACCCTGCCTATCCTGTGTTACAGCTTCCTGTTGACTGTTCTCTTCATCCTAGATGGGAGGAATCTTTACAACAGTGATTCTAAAATGTTTAAATTTAGACCCGAGTTAACTCTTCTAAGAGCAATGCTCCCAGGGGAGCCCAGCACACCCTTCTGTGAATGGCGTCTTTTAAATTATAACTGGTTTTGAATGTTCAGTGTCAAGTTTTTAGAGCAGTCATTCATCATTTTTTAGTTACACCCAAGTGGTGACTGTTAGTAGAGGTATTATCTTTATAAACAATGGACGTGTAGATTGACTCTTTTGATCTCCTAAATAAATACTTGAGTGGAATGCTGCATTTAACAAGTAATGCTGTAGGTAGGACAGTGGCTTCAGAATCAGACTAATCTTGGCGACCATAGGCAGGCCATGTAACTTTGCTCAGCCTTTTTCCTGGCCCGTGAAAAGGGGATGATAATAGTACTTACCGACTCACAGCAGTGGCTTTGTGGTTTTGGTTACCTCATAAAGTCAGTAAGTGTTAACTATTAATGGCAAAGAATCAAGCACTTTTACTCATTTAATATTATAAAATTGATGATCAATAAACAGTGTGCTGATTTGGAGAAGTTTTAATTACCGAAAAAGAAAAAAAACATTGCATTGAAAGTAAAATTAAACTCAGTTTTTTTCCCTTGACTTGTTTCTAAATTGCAAAAATTTCTGTAATTGAATTATTTTTATTTCGTGCATGTTATGTTAAAAAAAAATTCTTAAATGTTCTTAATGTAGATTCTGCTTTATAAATTCTAGAATGGGAATAAAAAGGTTCCTGAAACCCTTGTGATCTAAGCCCACTCATTTAACCAACATTTATTGAGTACCTACTGTGTGCCAAGGAGTCCTGGTGGTGCAATGGTTAAGCACTCGACTACTAACTGAAAAGTGGGCGATTTGAACCCACCAGCGGCTCCACAGGAGAGAAGACCTGGCGATCTGTTCCCGTAAAGATTACAGTCTAGGAAACCCTATGGGGCAGTTCTCCTCTGTCCTGTAGGGTCACTGTGTGTCGGAATCGACTTGACGTCACACAACAACAAGGTGCCAACATAGTACTGGGTACTAGGGATACAGAGGTGACTGAGACGTGGTTCAGGTGGTGTACACGGGGAAGCACAAACGGCCAGGAAACATTTACAGAAAGATCTAACTCATTAATATGTTCAAGTATGTATTAAAATAAGATGATTTTACAAATCAAATTGGCAGTTTTTTTTTAATGATACTATTCAATAAGGTCAGAATTCAGAGAAGTTTTCAAACACTGATGAAACTTTACAACACTGATATAAATTGATAATAACTCTCTTTGGAAGAAGACAGTTTGGTAATAAGTATCAAAAGCCTTAAAATACCATTCCCTTTAACCTAGTGTTCCCACTTCTAGGAATTTATCCTAAAGAGATAATCAGAGATTCCTAGAATGGCTTATTTACAATAATGTTCATGAGACTTTTACTTGTAATAGTGGAAACTGGAAATAATATAAATGTTCATTGGTAAGATGTTAGTTAAATCATGGCACACACATAGGGTGAAATACTATACACTTAATAAAGGGCCTTAAAGAGTAATGATAGGGAAGGAAAATGCTTGTAATTTATTAACTGAAAAAAATGCTTGTTACCAAATAGTATAATTCCAATTTGCCGATATGTTTACTGCTTAGAAAAATACTAAAATGTTAAACCTGTTAAGTCTGTTCCTCTCTACTGTTCCTCTAACAATTTATCTAATATTACTCTAACAATTTTAACATTAGTTCAGACTGAAATACCAGGTCTAGCTTTTCTTGAGGCTAAAATTGGTCACTACATATTAGTAAGTAAGCATAAGTAAGCCTGTGCTTACCTAGCTTACTGGGTAATCTGTTCCTGTCACGGATTGTAAATTGGAAAAGAGGCTTTGATTCTGTAGGAAGGTGTTGGGTTGAGAGACAGACAGGTGCTAGCCATACCTAGAAGCAGAATCTTTGATATAGTGAAAAAATGAGACATTTTTCACTACAGATGGTCTGGTAAGCAGGGTGAGTACAGTGCTTACCTTGCCTGTTGTATAAGCTGTTGCTGCTGAGGAAGCTGCACTGCACTCCTTATTTTACCTGGTGACAACTCCCGGGGGTAAAAGGCAGAGTAGTCAGTAGGAACAAATCTGCCTCTGTAAAATTGGTCCAGAAACCTCAAGTCCTTGACCATGATGAACATTTCACAGCTTATCGTTGTAGTGGAAAATGGAGCACGTTTCACAAAACAGAAACAAGTCATCTTTGGTTACTAAGAACATTATGCGCTCTGAGAAAGGAACTATGCTAGCAACTTTTTATTCTCCTCAAGGTATGGCGTTTCCACACAGAAAAATGGCAAAGTCTTCCGTAATTACCAGAATACAAGGACACTTCACATGTTCACAGGCTCTAGGTTTTAATCTACCCAATAATTCTTAAATTTCAAAAGAGCTATTCTGTTATGTATAAAATTTTAATAGACTGTTAAACTAAATTTTACTTTTTAAACTCAGTACTTCAAAGAATACTTTTAATTCACTCTTCTGTAAGCTTTCTGATGACGTGATCAAGTTATAAAACATCCTCTGGAATTGGAAATTATCTGAATTGAAGGAATAAATTTTATTGTCCTGGTTTCTAAACGTAATACCCTCTTGATTTGATTATATTTTTCTTCCCTAGTTAATAACAGGATAAGTGCAAATTCTCGGGGGAAAAAACGCATTACTTTAAAAGTTAATGACAAGCATACAATAAAAATATTCTTGAATATTCTTAGGAAAGAATTCAGAGCCTGAAGCAGAGCATAGAATTCATGGCAGGTTTGCAGAAAACTCGAAAGCAGAAAGATCAGACAGATACCTCACCGAGGCGGGAGGACAGTGGCTGCTGGCCAAGGGAGAGAGAACACTTCGGAGATGCTGAAGCGCAGGCCTTCGAAGGCCCCAACAAGAAAAACAAAAAGTAAAAGTCTTTGCAGCACTCAGGTTAAACTATCTTTTTCTAGTTAGTAAGGGGGAAGAATACTAACTCCACTGATTCGAGCTTGACTGGGGAAGACCACATCCTAGTCTGTCAGCCGTGGGTTATTTTGGCACGGTGGTAGCTATCCTGAAAGTCCATGTTGATACGCGGTATCCTTGTCAGATGAAGCACTATATGAAATTGTCCAAACTCAGTTCAGAAAACAGTTTTGGGTATATATTCTTATTAAAGTAGTTCTAAGACCAATAAGCTATCTTTAGGGATTTGTTGTCAGTGAGTGTGTTAAATAGAAGTATTTGTTTAAGTAAAAATGTTTGGCCTTTCCTAACTTCATTTCATAAAAGCAGTTGAGATAATAGACAAACGTAAGCACGGTTAAAGCTCCTTCTTGTAGATGCGCTGCCCCTGCCACGTGTGCTTGTTTTCCGCCAGCGCGTGCTGACTGCTGACGGGGCAGCAGTGAACCAGGCAGCAGCCAGTGTGAGTGGACAGCAGTTGTGGGCCTCCTGCTGCTCACCGCTGACTACCAGCCCTGACTGCTGAGCACCGTGCTGTCAGTTTTGGGGAAGGGGATTAGTTAGTAGTTGGCGATTTCTGCTGTCATAATTTTCTTTTGCAAAGTAACAACATCCATAGAAATCTTTGTGTGTGACAGCAGGTTTCTTTTGTTCCTAAGATTTAGAAATTAAAAAAAAAAAAAAGAAAAAAATTTGCCTGCCCCCCCCCTTCAAAATACGTTAGGGATAGAATTCATTTTTATGAATGTACTCAGAAAAATACTAAGACAAATAAAATGGGACAAAATAGGAGAGACTAATAGGCTTGTCCTCTGTTTATGTATTATCAGGGCCCCACACCAGACCGTTAGAGAGTTTTAGTTGGTGGTGGTAGTACAGGCGTCTCCACTTTTAGCTGTATTCATATTGAGAATTCATTTGAACATTTTGATCTCATTTTTCTTTTACTACTTGGTATTCATGTATGTTTCCAGGAAAGACAAAGATACTAGTGAAGATAAATTTAAAAGCAGTAACTTAGAAAGAGAGCAGGAGCAGTTTGACCGCATCGTTAAGGAATCTGGAGGAAAACTGACCAGGCGGCTTGTTACTAGTCAGGTGATTCAACTTTTCCTTTCCTTTTACTACCTACTGGCCTTCACTCTGTCAGCTCTTACTCAGGTAATGTGAAATGGTTAGTTTTTAATTTGCTTGTTTACATCCATCCATTTGTTTTTTTTTAATCCATATCTACCATGGTGCTTTTTATCAGTATAATACGAAGAAAGATTAATACTGTATTTATTTGTAAAGTACATGATTAATCTTATCTCTATTACTGGATTTTTAATGTTTTTATTTTTTAGTGACGTTCTTATGTTCTAACTTGGGAAATGAACCATATACTTAAAAGAGAACATCTATACTCTGGTTTTTGAATCACATTGTTAGCACATTGGTTTTAAAACCAAGTGGGTTAATATTAGACTTTGGACAAGTCAGTTCCTTACCTGGGTCTGCAGTATCCTGCTTTACTGATAGAATGGGCAGAACTAGTTGGCCTTGAGGACCCATGTAGTGATTTTAAAGTTCTGAGATTTTCTTAACCTGCACTTCTTTTGCCTGTCGTCGGCACCTGTATACATGGAGACAGGTGTGAAAGTTAATGTATGAGTTTAATGGTAATGATGATGAAATATTAGTGTAATTAAACTAAGACTTTCTAGTGTGCTACAGATATATATGGTATTTATAAAACAGTTTAGTCCATTTGAATACTTTGGGTCATTGCAGTGTGAATTTGAAAGAAGAAAGCCAGATGGGACAACAACACTGGGGCTTCTCCATCCTGTGGATCCTGTTGTAGGAGGTAGGTTCACGGAGTGACTGTGCATAAACTTGATGCTGTTGGACAAAGAGCTGTAACCGGGATTAAAACTATTTTTTTTAAATCTTTTTTAACTGTACTTTAGATGAAAGTTTACAGAGCCAACAAGTTAGGCCGTAATGTGCAGCCCTGCTTTTGGGAGACTGTGGTGTGCTCAGATATTTCTAGAGGTGTCTCAGAATCCTCAGATTATGACATGATAGTTCTAACCAACCTTTTGAATTTCAGTGAATAAAATTTATATATGCCACGTAGTGCTTTAACAGTAATGAAGTATTTGCACTTATGACATTATGTCTTGCACTGTGGTTGGTAGAAAGTTTATAAAGGTTTGGAATCACTGTTTAGAGCTTCTGTCATATTTTGTTTTCCCATATAATGTTTTAATGGAGATGACATAGGCAGTATTTTGAAAATAGATGTAAGACTAGGAACTTCCTATCAAGCAGATCCATCTTAGAAAAAAATCATGCTTTCAGATATGTAAAAGTGAGAATGTTAATTTAATAAGTATTCTTTTTGGTACTATCATTATGAGAGAGTTGGGAATACAAAAGTGAGTTATGACAAAATGTTTACACTCAGGAGTACTTTCCAATATTTACTGTTTGCCATGAGCCAGGCACTGTGTTGGGAGCTGGAAGTGGAGCTAGGTGTGTAATAGGAACAAAACTGGGAGAGATGCGTCCGTTCCCCTTACGTTCTGTTGGTGGACGAGCACAGACAGAAGATAATCAGGTAAAGAAATGTGAACTTGTCTATCACGATAAGTTCTACAAGGAAAAGAACAGTTGTAATAGTGAATAACAGTTTGGGAGTCAGAGAAGGCTTCCTTAGGGAGATGATGTTTGGTTGATCCCAGAAAGGTGAATCGGGTGGGGGAGTAGGGAGCTTTGAGTGAAAAACCTTGAAGCAGGAAAGAGCGTGATGAATTTGAGAGACTTACAAGGCAGCCTAACCAAGAACTTAGGTCACCTGAGTGTTCTGGCTGTCCTTCTTCCAAGACAGAGACTGGTTTATTCTTCTGGCCGTCCATGGTATGTTCGTTATTCTTCGCCAGCACCATAATTCTTCTTTGATCTTCCCTTATTCATTGTCCAACTTCCGCATGCATATGAGGATGATTGAAAATCCTGTGGCTTGGTTCAGATGCATCGTAGTCTTCAAAGTGACCTCTTTGCCTTTTAACACTTTAAAGAGGTTGTTCGCAGCAGATTTGCCCAGTGCAATGGGTTGTTTGATTTGCTCGACTGCTGCTTCCCTGGGCGTTTAGTGTAGATCCAAGTAAAATGAAATCCTTGATAACTTCGGTATTTTCTCCGTTTATCGTGATGGTGCTTATTGATCCAGTTGTGAGGATTTTTGTTTTCTTTATGTTGCAGTGTAATCGATACTGAAGGCTGTGGTCTTTGATCTTAATCAATTACGTGTTTCAAGTCCTCTTCACTTTCAAAGAAAATGCTACAGGATTGAGAACATTGCTTTTTCTAGTATAGCTTTGACGACAATTTGGTGATAGGAGATTTAACTAACTTGATTTAGGTTGACACCTTAGATTCTGCCCTTTTTCTGTACCCAGGGTCTGGTCTCTGCTCTTGACCTGAGTGTCCAGCTCCTCTAGGCGTAGTTGGACGTGGCCAAAGCTGGCTTGACTCCTCATACTCACAGCCACTCCCCTTGAGGGCCAGTTTATTAGTTTAAGGTGAGAGCTGCTTCTGTTCATCTTCCTGGTGGAGGTGTGCCATTAAGAAACCAAATTCCAGACTGCTTACCAAGGAAGAAAGATCAGATTTAGGTGTTTGAAATTTCTTACAAATGGTTTCATCACAATGATCATCTATGATGGTATTTCCATTCTAGGGGTGAGCATGTTACAAAAAACAGGACTCTTCTTCAGGAGAGAAAACGTCTTTTCTATTGTCTATCGCTAGAGACGTTTTTTTCCTGATAGCATCCTTTTCATTCCTCTTAAGTGCCCACCTCAGTTCTGCTTATGTCATGTATTCCCAGTATTATTATAGGAATTCATCCTGGTATACAGAGATCACATTTTTAGAGGCTGTTCCTCATTGCTTTAAAGTATGCTTCTAGTAGATATTAATTTATCCTCACTGTATTTTGAATTCTTGTTACTTTTAATCGAAGTATTTTCCCTTACTCAGGCTTTTACCAACCATTTCTACTGATTTACTTCTATCATCTTAATGTTAGAAAGCATAACTTCTAAGTTTTCTTTTTAATAAAACACTTATTTTTTTAAGTGACGTCTCAGTAACTGCAGACAATTCTTGATCAAGGAAAAGCATATTTTAATAATTTTAGAGAATGTCCTCAATCGAGTTTAATTTTTAAATCAAGGTTAATTATCGCCAAAGGCAAGAGTAAATCTATCGCTGGAAATTCAGCCTCATTCTACAAAAATATTAAGTGCCACATGGTTTTAAGGAATTCCAGGAACCAGTGGAGTGTAATGACTTTGGTCTTGTTCATTCATGCCTTTCTAAGCTCAGATTTTCTTATCTTAAAAACGGATATAATAATGGCTGTCACTGCTTCCCATGGTCATGTGGGTGACATGAAGCAATGTAGGTGAAAGCACTCTGCAGAATACCATGTGGTCACACTACTCATGCCTCATTCACTGTGCTTGGTTTTATGTTTTAGAACCAGGCTGCTGCCCTGTAAAACTGGGAATGACCACTGGAAGACTTCAGTCTGGAGTGAATACTTTGCAAGGGTTCAAAGAGGATAAAAGGAACAGAGTAACTCCAGGTAAGGCTTGGGTCTGGTAGTTCATGTTTTGTCTCTTCTCTCTCTTTCAGGGAGTTGGGGAAAGGAAGCATAGTTACCCTTCATTGCATTATTACCTAACTCGGTGGTGTTTTCACATCAATTAGCTTTTTTTTTTTTTTTTTAAGAAACTGAAAAATTGGCTATTAGTTTTCAAAATAAGTTGATATTGGCTGTTTTTTTTTTTCTCCTCTGTCCCCTTTGTGGGGAAAAATTCACTTGAGTTGTGACATCACAGGTGTCCAGGGAAATGTCTTAGTTATTTGTACCAGTCAGTGAAGGAGTAAAGTTGAAAGATGATACTCTTTGAATAAAACAAGAAAATAGACAAATATGTAAGTTGAAGAATAGCGTTGTAGTATTTATTTTTTTATCAACAGTGTTATACTTGAATTATGGACCCTATAGTTCTTACGCACCACATTATGACTCCACATTTGCAAATATCAGCAAGGACGATTCTGATTTAATCTACTCAACCTATGGGGAAGACTCAGATCTTCCAAGCGATTTCAGGTGAGTTACTAGTTAATCAATATTCTGAGTACCACATTTTTCTAAAATAACAATGTATATATGTGATTTGTGGATAGACTTACAAAGTTATCCAAGTGATAGAAGGTGCATTCAGTTATTTTTTTTCCTCTCGAGACTGACAGGCATTAAATAGATCCATAGTCGTCACAGTGGAAACGGAGTATTTTAAAGTGAGAACATATCTCCCTAATATTTTCTGATGTTGACATCTGTAGTATTTTAATTCTTACAAAAATATTTTTTTAAGGATGCTGCATAGTTCCATTGATACTAATGTTCAGAAACTTGTGATTTCAAAATGTTGATGTGTCATCTGATCTACTATAACATTTCTGGTTCAGTGAGTTGTGTTCCCAAACTTGATCACTTTTTTCCTTTGTTTTTAATTGCCTTAGTTTATTGAACTGCATTTCTTGAAACAGATACTATTCTTGGACTCAATCACTTGGGGCTGAGCTTTATTAGGGTTAAATCAAAAACCTGTTGCTGTTGAGTTGATTTCAACTCATAGCGTCCCTATAGGACAGAGTAGAGATGCATCATAGGGTTTCCAGGGAGCAGCTGGTGGATTCCAACTGCCAACCTTTTGGTTAGCAGCCGAGCTCTTAACCACGGCACCACCAGTGCTCTTTATTAGAGTTACACCCTCATTAATGAAGACTTGGGCACGTGGCTCTTGAGCCTCTCACACCCCGGTGTCTTGGTTCCCTGACCTCCTCGCCACCCAGTGCCATGGTCACACCCTGGACATTGTCGTCACCTGAAACTCTTGCACCTGAAATGACAAGTCAGACGTCCCACTCTGTGATGACAGCCTCTTCCCTCTGTGCCTTACTCAGCCACCATCACCACACTTCTCCCTGACCCCACTGGGACTTCCAGCCCCTCGGTCCCAATTCTTCTACCACACGTCTTTCCCCTTTTCTTTTGGTAGCGGAAC